GACTTTTTAATAAATGACACTGGATCAACTAGACAGAGATTTGTTAAGAGGTTAAATTGCAGTCATATTTCACATAAACCACCAGAGTAAACTGCAAACCAGTAAGAGATTCAAATATACAAAATAATATCATGCATGCCGTAGAAATAAACATGGATAACTTCCTCTATAAAATTAGAAAGGGGAAAGGGTTTCTAGCAATGACTCTATATCCAGAAACATTAAATGAAAAGTTTGATAAACGACGATATGTAAAAATTGTTTTTAGGTTTTGTATGTCAGTAGGCAAATTCAAAATACAGACAGCAAACTTGGAAAAAACTATTGCAACATATATTACAATTAAAGAGCTAATCTAGAGAATATACAAAGGACTCTGAAAATTCAGAAGAAAAAGACCAAAAACCTGATCAAAGAATGGACAAAGGACCAGACAGTTCACGTTAAAATATATTTAAAACATAACGAAGAGTCTCAAGCTCACTCATATTAACAGAAATGGAAGTAAACTATGGAAAACAATGGAAATGAAAATTCTACTGAGACACTCTATTTCAGCTGATAGGTTGCCAAAAATTCTAAAGTTACACAGCATACTCCATGGGCAAGGCTGTTTTCATTGATTAGTGTTGCAGGATATAACTGTTTTTCTTCCATAATTTTACTTTCATCCTATCTGTGTCTTTATATTTAAGAGTATCTCCTGTAAACAGCACAAAATTGGTCTTGCATTTTTTATCCAGACTGACAATCTCTGCCCTTTAGTTGGAGGGTCTAATCTGCTTACATTTAACGCAACTACTGATAGGGTTAGGTTGAAGAATACCATGTTGATACTTGATTTCTATTGGTGTGATGAATTTTTTTCCTTTGTCCTTCTCTTCCTGCCTTCTTTTGTTATATCTCATTTTGTCTTCTTTGTTGGCTTTTAGTTCTATCTCTACGTATTATTGTATTGGTTACTCTAAGATTGCAATATGCCTCCTTCACATGTCACAATCTACTTTGAATTAATGTTATACCACTTTGTATGAGAACATTGAAATAAAATATTTCCATTTATCCCCCCTCCTACCCCTATAGTTATTTTTGTCATATATTTTGCTACTATATTCTATAAATTCTAAAACATTTTTACCTTAAATAGTCATTAATCTTTGAAAGAAATTTATATAAAGTCTTGTATATTTGGTCACATTTCACAATTTAATTCTTCTTTTGTCCTTCGTGCCTGCAATGGGGATCGTGTCCCTTCAGCCTGAGGAACTGCTTTGAGTCTTTCTCGTGGTGCAGGGCCGATGGCAACAAATTCTCGTAGCTTTGTTTTCCTGAAAATTTATTTACTTTGCCTTCATTTTTAAATAATATATTCACAGAAGATAGAATTCCACATATAGTTTGCCTTTTCCTTTCAACTACTTAGAAATGTCATCTAAGTGTCTTCTGATTTCTATCATTTCTGATGAGGGCTCATTGTTATTCTTATTGTTGTTTCTCTTAAAGTAATGTTTATTGCTTTTCTCTCTGTCTACATTTAGCCTTTTCTGCTTATCTCCATTTTTCGTTTTTTTTCTTAGGAAGATTTCCCTGAGCTAACATTTGTGTCCATCCTCCTCCATTTTTTGTATGTGAGACGCCTACCACAGCATGGCTTCATAAGCGGCACTTAGATCCGTGCCCAGGATCTGAACGTCGAACCCTGGGCCACCGGAGCAGAGTGCATGAATGTAACTACAGCACTGACAGGTGGGCCCCTTTCTTTGGTATTTACCAGTTTGACTATTATATGCTTAGATGTTGTTTTCTTTGTCCTCCCTGACGTTCACTGAGCTTCCTGAGTCTGTGGATGAGGAATGTAGTCTAGCAATAGGCCTATGACGAAAAGGAACCAGTGGCTGCACTTCTTTTATGGTGAAATGTGTTTGTTGGACAAAAGCAGTGTTGTGTGGGATAGCAAGACAGGAAATCAACCCTGTGAGTTCTGTAAGTCCACAGGGGGAACCGGCAGAAGTATGGTGGTGGGCAGGAAGGCAGAGCCATCCTGAGACACCTTCACAAAAATTACCAAGATCTCACTTTCCTTTGGGCCTCTCTCCCCCAGGAACTGGCTTGGCGGTTCTCTCCCTGCCATCCTGGGACCCAGCTCTTCTTGTGGGTCTGGAGGGAAGGAGGAGAGATTTGGGTGGGTTTGCTTGAGTAGAGGCATTTCCTTGAGGTCATTCCAGAGATCTTTTATTTATTTCTATTTAAATTTTCATTACAGAGGTACTTGAGGAACAGAAGGATTGTTTCCTCAAAGGCAGGGGTGGGGCAGGGGACACTTCCACAGACAAAGGAGATTTGAAGGCATCAGCATGATTAGGGTGCTTTCCCACCCCCATCCAAATGTGCCCCTGAGCAGACTTCAGCTCACCAAGCGAGGTGTAGGAATCCTTGCCACAGAATGGCTGCACAGCAGCCCAGAGGTTTTCTCTCCAGGGAGGTGTGTGAGCAGAAGCTCAGCTCTTGTTCAGGGATGCCAGGAAGTCATCATGGGGCAGGGGTTAGACAACATGTCAGGGCTCTTGCTGACCTGGCTGTCAGGGCGCCTGGGCTCAGTTCAAGCTGTGTTCTAACTCTGTGGTCCCTTCAGTCGTCCACTGCCCCCTCCTGGGACTGTGTCCCTCCCTCATCTCTCACAGGAGGAAGACCTGCAGCAGGGTTCTCAAACTTGTATCCAAACCACAGAACCATTTCCTCAAAGTACACGTGATATCTAAACTCAATATGCATGTGGCTGGGCTGCTTTTGTAAATATTACTTTTATTTTTCTTTTGGCATTTTCTTTTTTGTATTTTCCCATCAAGGAGCCAGGTTCTTAGTATGTCTTAGATGCAGGGATATTGTTTCAGCTCCAGATCAGAAGCTGCGTGTCCTCACTGCTCTCCCCTTGTGAAAGTGCCCGCAGTCATGAAGACACGGTGTTGCTGCCTGCTTTGTGCACAACAAGGTGGGAAAGGCCGTGCCTGTGAGGGTTACATGATCCCAGAGTAAGTACCTCTTGTGGTGGGAGGGTAGTGCTGTGTGGGTTTGGAGCAGGAGCTCAGAGCTGGGACATATGCTCAGCTCCCAGGTTGTGCCCCATATGAGCGGCAAGCCCTTGGAGAGATGGCTGCTGGGAGTGTTTCCTGAGCTGAGCCCAACTCAGGGAGATCCTCATTCCACAAAGGATTCCATACTCTCCATGGGGGCTCCTAGTCAAAATACTCCTAAAGTCGAAAAATCTGGGTAGTCTGGAACTACGGACGCAGCAGTAACCACGGTGGCCCTAAGAGGTGAGGCCTTTCTCCAGTTTTCTAGACCATGTGAACCTCCCTGAATCTGGTTTGATTCTGCGCAGGCAGGAGGTACAGTAACCACAGGGATCAGGTTTCCGGCCAGTCCAGTTGGATGGGTGTTTAGAGTCTGACTCTAGTTGCCTTCAAGCAAGTATTTAATACAGTTTTTCCTACCATCTGAATCTGTACAATGACATTCCTATCTGCCACTTTTAAGGCAAATGAAGGTAAGGCTGCCCTCGCTGCCCTTCTCCCTCCCTGCGGGCTGCCCTCTCCTCTAGGTGAAGATGATGCTCCAGTGGACAGAGTGTGGGGACTTCACCCCTGGAAACCAAATGACTGCTGTCTTTTCCAAATCCCACGCCCTGCTATCCTAGAGTCACACGTGCTCGCGCTCACACGAACTGTGACCAGCAATAGAAACAGAACACAAGTATTTTATTCCTGTGGATTTCCCACAGAGATCTAGGCCATGTGCACTCATGTGAGGAGGGAGAGAGAGTTACATGATTTGGGTGAAACTCACATTATCAGTGTCTCTTGGGTTCAAAGGGCAGAGTGTATTAGGTCCACTGTGGATCCCCAGTGCTGGGTACTTAGGAGCTCAATCAGGGTGTGTTTGTTTATTGATGGAAAAATGGTGCTTTCCAGTCCTACTGCAGAGAGGGTAGGGCTAACTCAAAAGGCTGAGACAGCCCTCGGTGGCCAGTGAGGGGCCTTAGCCTAGAGGTCAGCAGTGACTAAGATGGACAGGCTGAAAGGGACTGAGATTATCAAGTGACCAGGTGATCAATGCACCCTGAGCACTTGGGGGACACTGGGCTGGATGTGAGGGGTTGAGCTGGCTTTGCCAGGTGAGAGTTGGGGCAGGGGTTCTGGAGAGACAGCCTGCCTGCTGTGTCCTCCATATGTCCTCTTGTTGCCAGCACAAGCCTGGTTCCTCATGGTCCTCTATGACAGAGCATGAGTTGGGCTGGCATCTCAGGGGAAAAGCCCAGCTGGAAATACATGGAGCTCTGTGTGTCCTAGGCCGAAGGACTATCAGAAAGGGGCCAATTCAGATCAGGGTTTCTGGAGGGGACAGGAGTTGGTGGACTCTGAAAACTCTCAGTGGAAAGCAGGGATGGAGAAGAAGGGGCAGCCCGGAGACTGGAGGGCAAGCTCGGCCCCAAGGTCGGAGGAGGGCAGGGAGGAAACTCAGGCTGGGTGAGAACGAGGAGCTTCTCCAGAGACCCACCCTGACTCCGTGCCAGCTCCCTGGCTGTGGGAGAGATCTGTCCTGCTCAGGCAGCCTCTCCCCTTCCCCGTGTGGGTGGCTATGCCGTTGAGCTGCAGCCCCAGGCTTGCCTGCTTGGTGTCCGGGACCCATGGTGTCATCCCCCTTCCTCTCTGCTGTATAACACAGGGAAGGAGGTAAGAAGTTCATCCTGAGACCCAGGACCAGAGAGCTTCATGTTTTCTCCTGATGGTGCTCAGCTGCAGCCCTGGCAGAAGGGCAGGCCCAGAGAAAGGTGTGGGTCAGAAGGAGCTGGGTAACAGCTTTGCTTGAGGTTTGGGGGAGGTGGTGATGGGAGGGGGAAGAGGAGGAAGCAGAAAACAGCAGATTTGTGTCATTGGCCTTCTAAGGACAGAGTAGGTGCCTGTGAATGAGGGTCAGTGAATAAACGAGAAACCAGCCTTTCCTGCTCAGCTCAGAGACATTTATTTAGTTGCTGGTGACATTCTGGATCAGCTCCAGAGAAGGTGGGCTTGTTCCTACAGTTAGAGGCTTTTCATAGGATTTCATGGTTTCGTTTATCCAGGGCAAGAAGCTCGAGACTTTGGTGAAGACCCGTGGAGGTTTCCCATTCTTTTGTCCACAGCAGACGATGCCCTGGAGCACATTCTTACACATGAAAGGGCCCCCAGAGTCCCCCTGTGCACAGAGAGTGGGGAGGACTGAGACTGTGCTCTCCCTGATTCTGCCCACTTGTATCCCAAGCGCCCTCTCAGTGAAGGCCACCTGGTCTCTCCTTCATGTGGGAGATCAGAGAGCAGGGCAGGCCCCTGTGGGCCCCTCAGCTGCCCAGTCCTGACCCTGGACATTGTCCTGGCTTCATTTCACTCAGGGGGCAGCTCCCTCTCCTCCCCCAGGTCCCAGATCCTCTCCCATGAGGGCGCTGTGGGACTGTGCTTCTTTCTACCATTTAAGGACATGGAAGCAGGCAGATGAGGACGACACTCAGCTTGTAGGGTGAGCCAGTTAATCAACATGGGAGCCAGCTGTGAGGAGCCACCTGATTTGACTGCTGCACACCCAGGGAGCAGTTTTCTAACACCAGAGCCGGGCGTGGGGCAGAGTCTTGCAAACTCATCTTCGAATGGAGCACCATGTTTGGATGCATCTCGGGCCCCTGGGAAGCTCCCAGAAGGCCTGTGACTCCCCACTCTGGCTGCTCCCCCCTTCTCTTCCCAGGAGAAAGATCAGAGTCTAGGGGGTGAAGGAGTCCCTACTGCCTGGGACTCCAAGTCCCAGATCTTCCCCAAACACCCCTCTCCCCAAAGCTGAGCCAGGCAGATGCTCAGTCTCACCTGAAAGGAAGACTTCTTTTCCTTCGGGTCCCCAACGCACAGCTGAGTGGTACTGTTGTAATTATTGCTAAAGTAGAATTTGCACTCCTGGTCCTGCTGCACGGTCAGCTCCACCTCCTGCAGAGTGGTTGCTAAAGTGTCTATTGAGACTTTCCCCCAGCCGGCCACACTGCACACCTCTCCGGGCCTCACTGGGGCCTGGCCCCAGGGCAGGCTGAGTGGCTGCACAGCTGCAGTCTGCCTGGCCTCTCTCTCCAGCTGATGGGAAGAGGAAAGAAAGCCCAACTCAGCCACTAGCCTCCTGGACCTGGACACCGCGATGGGGCTGCACTGACTACCCTCTGCCCGGAGCCACAGTCACTAGTCAGGCAGCCAGGATTGGAAGGAAGGAAGAGTCCCAGTGGGAGGGGAAACAATCTGGACCAAGGAGAGCAAGAGCAGCAGGGAAGTTCCCTTACCTTTAGTAACATGATGTCATTGGAGGACTTCTTAGGATTATAGTCTGGATGGCAGATGGCTTCTTTCACAGAGATGACCTGCTGGGTCCTCTCTTGATTCAGGATGTTGTGGGCCCCCAGGGTCACCTTGATTGAGCTGCACAGAAAGCCGAATGGGGATGTGGGGGGGCATGGAGTCACAGAGATCCAGCCCAGGAGCCATGAAGGGTGAGTGACAGCTGGGGCAGGGCCCGGGCTGCAGCTAGGGGAAATTGAGACAACACCAGAGCCCAGTTCTGAGTGACTGGGTGCCCTGTGCTTCTCAAGGACACTCAAAGTAAGCCTTCTGGAAGCTTTCTCTTGTCCTCAGGCAATATTGTGAAAGTACTCTGAGTTTTCGTTTTGACCCCAGTGCATGATTTCATCCTCCACAGCTGCTTTATTGGGCCAGTGTGGTCTGTCTTCTCCACTGGGCCTCTTTCTCCCACCTCTGACCCTCTGGATGCAATGCTTCCCTGTCCTATTTCTCACTTTCCATGGCCCAGTCATGCTCTCAGATGGCTCCTCTCATGAGCGCTCGTGGCCTTGAGTTACTAGGAGTCGGGGGAGCTCCCTGGGCTGCAGTCCCTGGGCAGAGGACAAGGCTCCCTGTTGGGGTCTCGGGAGGTGTCAGTTGTCTGCAGCACCTCACCTTCCCCAGCAGTGAGCAGCCGTCAGAACAACATCCCTTTCCACAAGGACACCACCACACCTCTGGACCTTCCCCTCATGCAGAGCATGAATCAATGCCATGTAGGGGCGGGAGTGAGGCCTGGCCTCTTGTCCGCCGATGACGATTCCTGAAAAAAAAAAAAAAACCTGGAAGATGGGCTTTCTGGAAGCAGTGGTGGTCAGGAGGGAAGGCTCTGGAAGGTGGTGATTGAGGGTGGGGTTTACAGTGCCCTGCAGACACCGGGGCAGAGTCCTCCCAGGTTCTCCCTGGAGCAGAATAATCTTTTCGGAATGTGAAGCCTCTGAACCCACTGTGAGAAAACAGAGGATGGTGCTTGTTGTTCCCGTCCCACTTCAGACCACGTATGGAAGAGATAAGAGCTGTCTTCACAATGGTGGAGCCCAAGGGGATCGTGACAGGGCTTGCTAACACCTTCTGTCTCAGTGAGTCTCCAACCCTTCTGAGCCTTTGCTAAGGTCCTGACTGGTGCCCGTATCTAACAATCTGTCCATGAGCTCATGGAGTTGGATTTTCTACAATCCTCATGTCCTGTGGGCTAACCTGTCCTGGGATCTCAGTAAACATTTTTTGACTGTGTGAATGAATGGCCTTCACTTATCTTTCTGCTGCAGTTTGTTGGGGATCGTGCTTGTAGGATTGAAGGCCATCATCATGTAGGGAGGGCCCTGTGTGGAGCAGCCTGTGGCTTGGGAAGGCAGGGAGATGTGGGGTGGAAAATGGGGTCCCCAGGCCTCTGGCAGAGCCAAAGCAACAGGAGAGCCCTGCATGTAGTCATCCAGCCCCTTCTGAGATCCACTGCTCCCTGGGGTCCTCTCCTGGGCAGGGGTGAGGGGATGAGGGAACCAGGAAGTGAAACTATTTCCGTAGCTGGTTCCAGTGACAGTTCCACTACTGCAGCCGGTTTGTCTGATCTGCCCTCTCCTGAGTTGGACTGAGGGATTTTAATTACTTATCTTTTAGAGCTCCATTTCCTCTCCCCAATGCCTTTCTATGAACAGCCCACTTTCCAGTTGATAAGAGAGAGGCTCACACACTAAACTTTTAGTGACCGCTCTTCCTTCCTGCCATCCTTGTGGTATGTCTATGCAGCATCAGACTTGTTAGGCTGAATTTTGGATCGGAGCTGTGTCTAGAAAATTCTTGGTCTGAAATTGAGAAAAATCAGTGACTGTGCTGGGTAGAAGGCTCAGGAGTCCAGACGGTGTCGTGAGTTGGGCTGGAGGCTCTGGAATGGGGATGGTCACTCACCTGTCCCAGGCTCAGGGGGCAGAAGAAAGGCCAACAAGAGCAGGAGTGGCTGCATCTTCCTCGAAGGTCTGCTCTGGTCTGAGCTGCTGGTGGTTCATCCTTCTAGACACTTGGTTGCAAAAGGGAAGGCAGGGGTGTGGCCCAGGACCTTACAGACCACCTCCACCTGTGCTGCTGGTTTTCCTGCATCGTCTGCAAGCTGATTTGTTGAAGTTCTCTGGCTTTGGGTAGGTGAGAGTAGCGTTGTCACCACACTTGCAGTCTCAGTGCTGAGTCACAAAGTGAAAGCAAGAAAGAACAAGAAAGTGAAGCCTTTGCTGCAGCCAGCGGAGGAGCTGGACCCCAGAAGCCCGTCAGTGACCGAATCAAGAATGCCCCTTTTTCTCTGCTTTTGGCTCTTTTTCCAACCTGATGAAGTCATGAATAATTATTTAGCAAGCCAGCTCCAGGCAGATGAGCCTGGTGGCCTCTGCCCTTGAGAAGATGGCAGTCAGCTGGGGTAGATGGAGCATCAATGATTACAGTACTGGCTGGTAAAGGCTGTAGTGGGAATCTGCCTGGTGGTGGGAGATAGAGGCTGGACCTGACTTAGGGGCATGTAGAGCTGGACATACCCAAACACCCCAAATGTAACTCACTTCCACTCTGACCACATGTCCAGCCTTGTGTTTTGGAATATTTAGAATCCCCTCTTTAAATGTAAATATTCTGTGACAAACAGAGCTTCTCTTCTCCCACAGTTTTGAACAAAAGTCCTGGACTTGGCATTCCTTGGACCAAAACAAATCATCAGTGGGTCTGTCAGAATTGAGTGGCCTGATTGGTTTATGCTTGGGTCTTGTAGCACGAGGTGGGGACCGTTACCCATATCATAGTGCCTGGTATCTGGGGAGAGGGTTCATCTCAAGAGATGTGGGTCACTGTTGCCAGGTGATGGGGAAATGAATGCCAATTGTCCTAATAATTCCTATGCACTAAGAAGTCTGTCTGGAGTGCAGTGAACCAGGGCTCTGATGTCCCTGCGCCTAATAGCTATAAATATTTGCAAAGAGATTATCCCAACACTCTCACCAGTGTGACGAGAGGTGAAGGAGTCATGGAAAGGAGGGCATTATGACCTCTAATGGCCTAACCACAATTCTGCTGAAGGAACAGCATCCTATGAAGACATAGAAAACAGAGGAAGGCAACCTGCTTAAGCATTAAGGATGAAGATGTCTGGGTGGTGGAATTCTCAGGAATGTTAATGATATTATTTCTGTTTTCTGCTTCTACTGTGTTTCTCTATGAGTATGTAATACTTTTCCACTCAGCATACATTTTCCCGTAGCCAAACACACTCATGGCTGGCAGGCATTCAGCAGACTACTTCTTTACAGTCTACCTTCTCTAAGGTGGATGTTTTCAAAATGAGGTTACTTTTCTGAATCTATTCTCAAAAAAAAGACATTCTTGATAAATAGAAGAAATATTTACTCAATAAGCTATAGGCTATAGCGCATTATGGTGAATAAAGGAGGAATCAATGATTTCCACTATAGAGATGGAAGTTTATTAGGTCCCTCACAGGCTCCCCTCCTCTCCAATCTGCCTAGGGCAGTTCTGGCCTCTGCCACAGAAAAGATGGATGGATCAATCCTGGGGGCACCTGAGCCTGGGCCCTGCTGCCTGAAGTATTGTGCTTTTTCTCCAGGGCAGAAAGCTCGAGATCCTGGTGAAGTTATACCGAGGCTTCCCATTCTTTTTTGCAAACGAGACAATGCCCTGGGCCACACTGTTACACATGAGTGTGCCCCTGGAGTCCCTCTGTGCACAGAGAAGGGAGAAGTCTCAGTGAGAGCCCTCTGGCTCCTCCTTCTCAGCATCATTTTCTCCCTTGTGCTCCCCTGCTCCCCTCTCAGGGCCCAGCTGTTCAGAGAGGTAGTGGCTGAGTGGTCACCATTCACCTTGGCTCTGAGTTTCAGGGGGATTGGTGGATCCCCTGTGATGTACCTGCACCATGAACCTGTGTCCTGGCTGTGTCCTCTCTCCAGCTCCACCCGTTCCCGGGCCCTCATCTTGTTTTCCATGGACAAAGGTGAAGAGATTGGCTGGAGGGAGATGCCTGGGCTAAACCTGCTGGGAACAGCAAGCCTCCACCCATGAGTGGAACCAGGTCAACCACTGGTTGTTGGGTGAGAGAAGTCCTGGCAATGTCACCCCAGCATCACTCTGTCCCTGGGGCAAGGGTGGGAAGATTCTTATCTTCTTACTCTTGCAGTGGCCTTCTTGTCCACAGGCTTCCCACGCACAGCTGGATGGAGTTGTAGTTTTTGAAGAGGTCCTTGCACTTCTGCTCATTCTGCACTTCTAGATCCACCTCCTGGAGTGTGTTTACCTTTTTGTCACTAGCAACTTTCCCCCAGCCTGCCACACTGCACACCTGTCCTGGCCTCACCGAGTCCTGGCTCTCTGGCAGGACGATGGTCTTCACAGGCGAGTTGAATTGAGTCTTCTTTTGCAGCTGGTCAGAAAAGTGAGAGATGGCAGTGCAGGTCTTGCGTTCCAGCTGGTCTCAGATCCATGGCTGAGGTTGCCTGTACCCCCTGCACAGAGTTCTGCAAGGCCCCTCCTATTACATTGACGCAGCAGAGCAGACATGTTGGAGGAGAGGAAGGAACTGAGACACTGAATGAGCTACCCTCATGAACTGTGACACTGCACCTGAAAGTCAGCAAGGTGGTACCTTCAGTAGCACGATTCGTTGACCTTTGAATTATCATTATAATCCTTATGAGTTAAGACTCTGAGCACAGGAATGACCTGCTGGCTATTTTCCATTTCTCTGATATTGTCAGCACCCAGGATGACACGTATTTGTCTGTAAAGAAAAGGTAGATTTGGTAAGCCTAGATGCTACAACTCAGTCTCTGAAATGCAGGTTGAAGTTCCAGCTGAAAGTACACCTGCAGCTGAATCAGATAGGCAGGAAGGGAAAAGGGGACAGTGCCAGCTTTCTTTGCTGTGCAGCAGTGACCCAGCCTGGTTCTTCAGCAGCCTGTTGTACATCCAGACCTCTCTCCACACAGTCCACCCCTGAACCCCACACTCACTGTCAACTGGTCTGAGCAGATCAGATTGTTCCTCTGATTAGTCACTGGCTCTTTGTGCTCAGTGACTTTCCTGAGTTATGGGCCAAGGTACCCTGCCAGGGGATCCCAGGAAGACAAGGACTCAATTGTGCTCCTCACCTTCCATTGCAGTGAGCTACGGTCACAACATTATCTCATACTAGGACCCGCCACATCTATTCCAACCACCCATGTTATTGTGGGAAAGTACAGACGCCATGTAGGGCAGGGACTGTGGTCTGGCCTCTCTGCCCCATCTGAGCTTCCCTGAAAGAGAAAATTGCCCTGGATCTCTGTGTTCATGGCAAACATGGGCTGAGAACTGCCTGGTGGCCTAAACCCATGGATGTTCAGAGGCTGGGGTGGTTGGAGTGTCCTCAGGGACCCAACACAATGAGAGGGGGCTGTAGGCTTCAGAGGGCAGCTGGCGGGCTTGCAGCATTGTTTCCTGGTTTACTTTTCAGTTTCCTCCTGTAGAGATGAGGTGCTCAGCCCTTGTTCTGGAGCAAACACACTTTAAATACATGTTAAGGGGACTCTCCCAGAAGATCCTGGTCTCTCTGACCTAGCCTGGTGAATTTTTCCCCAAGCCGTTCAGACCCCTGTGACCTGCTTACCTCCAGAATGAATCTTGTCTTAGACTTGAATATTTTATGCTCATAGAACCAAATACTCTGGTTCCTTTCTTTCCCATCCTGGGCCAGGCACATAGTACACATCCCATAAATGCTTGCTGGGTACATGAATGAACAGTCCTCAAATCTGCTTTGGTCAGCAGCTGGGGAGGAGAAGTTTTAATGCAATCTGAACAGTTTTAACATTCTAAGTCACACAGAAGGCAGAATACAAATGTCGGGAAATCAGAGGGAGATGGGGAAATGGGCTGGAGGGGCCTAGGTGGCAGCCACTCTCCACTAGGCTGGTGGGGGCAGCAGTGAGTCAACACTCTGATGGCTTAATTAGGTTCTCGGTATCTGCCCTGGGAGAGCTGAGTGGTTCAGAAGAATGGGGAGAAGGTGAAAGTGACATCTAGGGAACTGAGTATTAGCTGGCTCTTCTGTTGTGGATCCAGACAACACCTCCAGAGACATATTACCACTCGAAGCTTTGGAGAATGGGAAGTTATAGCACTCATTTTCAGCTTTCCCCTTCCACTAGAATCATGTGTTATCCTAATATTAAGTCATTTTCCAGGTGACAAGGATGTGACCCTTGGAAGGGAGAAGACCTACCAGGTGTCCTTAGGGAGTAGTTCTCTTTTCTATAGTTTCTCCACACTGCATATCCAGTGACAGACTGGGGATCAGCAAATTTCTGGGAGTGGACTGAAGCAAGGAAGGATCATAAAGACAGCCTCACTTGGACACTGTGGAAGTGTCAGTGTTGGAATAAGCCAGCCCTCTGAGGATCTATAGGGGCGTTTAATTCCTGCAGCCCTGGAGAGTTGGAGATTGGCCAAGAAGAACAGAAGCAGCAGCATCTTCTCCGAAAGGCTGGTCAGGTCTGAAGTGGTGTGTGCCTTCTCCTTCCAGGCTTTTCAGTCCTAGAGGTGAAGGAGGAAAGGGCTGGCTCAGTGACCACCAATTTCCTCCCAGTTCTATTGCTTCTTAAGATTAGAGCTTTCGTCACATCCCTCTTCACTTCACAGAGAAGGGGTTGCGTCATGAGGATTTTGTAAGAAGCATATTTTTAGGCTATTTATAGCATGATCACATTTACCAGGACAAAGCACTGGACACTTTCAATGGAGATGAAGCTTTGGGGGGCTTTCGTATTAGCCAGAAATGGTCTCCCTTTTCCATTAGTGAGATCCTCCAAGAAAATGAATATGATCCCAACATGCCTTGAATTTGTGATTAGGCAACTGTCTACTTCCTAAAATAGCATGCATCTATGCAATCTTACTCTTTGTAGAGCTCCATTTTTGTGATAGCACAAGGGTTTTATTTTATTTCTTAGTCTCATTTTTGGTGTAAAAGCCAAAGTACCATGCAATGGTCTCTCGTAGAACACAGTCGGCAAGAGTCTAGTCATCCATCAACTTCTTGGTAGTTACATGCAACTGGAAACAGTTGGGGTGGGGGTGAGGAGCAGAGGTTAGGAATGAAGTGCAGATGGGGCATTGATGTGGGTGCAAGA